AAAGTCGATATACCGCCCAGCCCTACTTATAGAACATCATATATCGATCACATATAATGGCAAACAGAAGCTCAAACATACCTGCTTGGTGCATGAGAACCAATGAGATTTGTTCTTGCATGTCGTGCAAGCACATTTAAGCTTCTGCAAGAACCAGTGAGGTTTGTTCTTGCGTCACACAAGTATGGTTGAGCATGGACTTTAAATGGAGGGACAGAAGTTTCTCGTTTCATTAAAAATTTCTTGTTTCGAGAGATGAAAAGCCTTGGGTGTTTAACTGACTTGAGAGCAATGTTCTTTTGCCCCTGCTGATTTTCCTCTGCAGTGCAGTACTGAGGACTTCCTGAGATTTTTGCATGATCTCAGCTGGCCTGGTTTCTGTTTCGTGCTGCAGTCAGCCTTCTATCCTCTCTGTAGGGTCATAAGACATACTGTAACACACAGGCCTAGACCTGTATACAGGGCAAAGCATGCATTTTTCCAGCAACAAAATTATTTCTGCAGGTTTCAAGTGCACAAAGCAATTGTGAGCAATTTGCCTCACAGGTTTGTAGCTGGATTCATTGTTGCACACCTGTTTATAGTTTAATAAAGTCACTTCAAATGTTCTCCTCATTGTAGCACGTTAATCCCAAGAAGCAGACCATTGGAAACTCCTGCAAGGCTTGTGGTTACCGAGGCATGTTGGACACCAGACACAAACTTTGCACCTTCATTCTCAAGAATCCACCAGGTAATTTCATTACTTTATTGTCATTTCATTACTTTAATGTTCCACAAACCTTTCAAATAAAACTGAAGGATGGGCTGGGTATTTCTGTGACCATAATCTATTTTGGGCTTAGTATGTGATTGTAAGCAGTATGTATATCTTGTAATGGTGGTCAAAAACTCTTATTTTCTGACCCATGGCATGTTGATTTGAAGTTCATGAACTAAACTCTATTTGTTAACTTCCAGAGAATGACAGTGGGTCTGTGAAAAAAGAAAAGGAAAAGAAGAACCGAAAGAAGGACAAAGAGAATGGCTCAAGTGGTGGAGAGGCTGGAAACCATAATGACATAGATGCCCCTGATGCTGTGGTAAGTGCTGCTTTGAGATCATCTTTTGAAAAACCACTTTCAGACTAACCAGCGTAAGAGATGAGAAATACTGGTGTTCAATGTGATCTAATGATAGAATGATGATGACGATGATGAAGACTGGGCTGAGGAGACCACAGAGGAGGCCCAGCGTCGCAGGATGGAGGAGATCAGCGAGCATGCCAAGGGTCTCACACTCACTGAGGACTTGGAAAAATCCCTGGAGGAGAGGGTCAACATATTTTACAACTTTGTGAAGGTGTTTGTCCTAATATTGTACTGAAAATTTGGGGATAATTGCTCTCTATATATAGACACTTATTCAGCACTGTTCTGTGTTTCTGCTCTTCAGGAAAAAAAGGACAGTGGCGCGATTGAATCTGCAGATAAAGAGATCTTGGCTGAGGCTGAAAGGCTGGATGTGAAGGCCATGGGTCCTCTGATTCTGAGCGAGCTGCTCTTTGATGAGAACATCCGTGAACAGATCAAGAAGTACAAGCGTCACTTCCTCAGGGTATGTCCTCATAGCTGTTAACATTTTTAACATTTAAAACAGTGATTCTCAACCTTTTTGATTCAAAGGACTACTGTTTCAATAGGACAACTATATTTGAAGCTTTGCCGTTTTAAGGGCTGAAGTTTTTTTTGTTGTTTTTTTCATGGTTCCCACTCATTTTGTCCAATGAGTTCACGTGACTTTTTTTCAGTCATTTGGCACTCACAGTTTAATGTATTATAAAATAAAATTCTAAACGAAATATTAAATATTTGGTATAGGCTATACCATACATCCACGTTTCCCAAGATAGTGGGAAACCTGGTTCTTCTGGTTTGCTGAGGGTGTGAATTGAAATGTCTTCATTTCTTTTTTTTTTTTTTTCAATGCTTTTTCCTTATTTTAAATCATTGAGGCCCTTGATTTAGAGTGTGACTTGAAACTGTAACTCTTGATAGCTTGAATGCTTCTAGTTACACTACAACAAACTTTTTTTATTTTATTTTGGTCAGTCAAACCCCTTAGATGTAAAATATTTACTTGGAAGTACCCCGAGATTTTGTTAATATTTCAGTAATTGAACATCAAATTCACATGTTCACGATGCTATGATTTTAATAATATTATAGTAATAGTATGATTTTGAACCGTTTGGGAAACCTGCACTACAACAGCAGTCTTCCTGTGTGTACAAACCTGATTACTTTTGTTAAAATGCACTAATGCTGCTTTTACAAATAACACTGTCATACTGGCTTGTTAATGCACTATATTAAGTGTAAGAAGTTTACATTCTCTGCCCACAGTTCTGCCACAACAATAAGAAAGCCCAGAAATATCTTCTGGGTGGCTTTGAGTGCCTGGTGAAGCTGCATCAGACTCAGCTCTTACCCAGAGTCCCCATTATACTCAAAGACCTATATGACGCGGATCTGCTGGAGGAAGATGTCATACTCGCATGGGCTGAAAAGGTAACCTGCCAACACACAGCCTCTAGACTTGACCTTCTAGAATCTCAGATGAAACTATGTAGGTCAGAGTTGAACGTGGCCCAGATCAGATGCCAAAAAATCTGATGATATAAGTAGTTTAGATGCATGAATCCAATTCTGATCTCTGGCAGGTCTCTGAAAAACCATAGATGGAAGGATGATGTGGTCAGTTACCTGTTACTAGGCAACCCTTGTTATTTTAGCCTGAGTGTCTGAGGGGGTTGTAATATGGTAACGTCTGTGACCTGCATGCGGCTGGAGAGCCCAGGGTCTGATGGCAGCAAGCATACTTGACTAGTCTAGTGTTCTAGAATTTAAGCTTGTTTGTGATGATTTTGCTATAGGTGTCTAAGAAGTATGTCTCCAAAGAGTTGGCTAAAGAGATTCATGCCAAGGCAGAGCCCTTTGTTAAATGGCTCAAGGAGGCAGAGGAGGAGAGTGAGGGCAGCGAGGAAGATGATGAGGATGACAATGTTGAGGTAAAAAAAGCTGCATTATCACTTTTCATAACCAGGATTTATAATAAGATCAAAGTAAATATAGAAGTTGTTAGATACTTATAGCACAGAATTTACTTTTATCTTCTTTTTCTCTAGGTGGTGTATTCCTCATCTGCCCGCGAGTTGAAAATGGAGACCACAAAACCTGAGAAGTCAGACAATGAGAAGGAGGACATTGATATTGATGCCATTTAAAGATGAAACCAAAAATCTTCAGTTGCCTCTTCACATATTGCTCCGCTTTTTTGTCAGTTGCATGCCTTTCACCTCCTTTGGCCTTTTCTTCAGCTCTAGGCCTGGGTTAGCGCACTGCTCAAAGCCTCTTATTTTAGTCTTTTCTCACCAGCTCTATTGATAAATTGTTGCTGTTGTTTGTATGCATGAGTTTCTTGGATTATAGAGCATAAATTCGAACGAGTTCCCCTTGTATTTTTGCAACTATTAAAGATTTGCCTGTGAATTCCACCCTTTTGTCTGTGTAGTCGATTTTGACAGTATTAATATTTAATATTATAAAGGCTGTTCAAAAGTTTGGGGTTAAGCCGCAGTTTTTTGAAGATGTTTCTTGAGCAGCAAATTAGCATCTTAGAATGATTTCTGAAGGATCATGTGACACTGAAGACTGGAGTAATGATGCTGAAAATTCAGCTTTGCGTCAGGAATAAATTACATTTTAAAATATACATATAGAAGTCATTTTAAATTGTAATATTTAACAATCACTTGTACTGTATTTTTAATAAAATAAATGCACACTTGGTGAGCATAAGATACTTTGTTCAAAAACATTTTTAAAAAATACTGACACTGAACTTTTCTGTAATGATAGTCGCTGTGGGGGAAATGGGTTGTGACTGCTAATAAGAATTACACTAGTTAGACATCAAGCACTCAGAAGTTTCCAAATCAGGCATTTATTAACCTTTTAATGTAGCACATTTAACGTAATGTTTTAGTTATGGGACTTTTGACAGGTCAAAATCAGACATTAGGCCATAAAATCCAGAACATGTAATACAGATCCAATAAATCATAGAAATACACAAAACACAACAGTCTGCACACGTCCATATAGAAAGACATAATTTCCTTCTTAATAACAGAAACAATCCTAACATTCTGCAAGCAGCTAACTACTACTACTTTAGCAACATTTATATCAAAGATCATAATTACTTTCCCTTTAGTCTTTGCACCAGTAGAAGACAGATCACAGTGTTTTGCCCTACACAGGGCGTTTTGTTAAATGCTATTTTCAAAAAGTACAAAATACATTAACGCAGGACTTAAACTATTACTACTTGATGTCAATTTTTGGCACCCACCCCCTTTTTTTATATACATTTTGGATGGTATTACATTGTGCAAAACGCAGATAAGCTAAAACATCCCACTAGTCTAATACTTCATCTCTCTCTACTGATTAGCTTACATTGATCTTAGTGCAACATGGGGGTAGTTTGACAACTACCAGCTTCTTTTCATTAACATTAATCTGCCAACTTAAACAACTGCATTTAACTCATTGACAAACAAAACTGTGATGGATGTGAGAATAACAACAAATTCAAAAAGTGACTGCTACTAAGCTCCCTTAAATTTTTTGTTCAGAATCTAACATTCAGTTAAAGGAATATTCTGGGTTCAAAACAAGTTAAACTCAATCAACAGCATTTGTGGCATAGTGTTAATCAACATAAAAAATATTTTGACTTTCTTAATTATAAAAAGAAAAAAGGAGGTTGCAATGAGGCACTTACAATGGAAGAAGTAAATGAGGCCAAGCTTCCCATTTTATAAATAATGTTAAAATGTGCATTATTTGAGCCTAAAGGTGACATTAAAGAAATTGTATGTTACAAAAGATTTCTATTTAAAATAAATGCTGTTCTTTTTAACTTTCTTTTCATCAAAGAAATGTGAAGCTTACCATATTATAAAATCAATTAAAATGTTTTTTTTTTTTCTTTTACTGTTACAGTTTGTATATTATTTGGGCTGTAATGCTATTTAAATCATTTTTAGGCCTTTTAGTGTTTTAGGGATTATAGCATTGTGTTGTCATGGAAAAAAACCTAAAATTGAAAATCAATTTACACAGAAGTAATTTTTCGCACTAAAATCATATTTTATGTTAACATTCATATTATTTGCTAGTTGTGTCTATACTATTGAAACAGTGAGTATTTCAATGTTTTATTTTAATAGTATTAAATGATTATTTTAATGTTAATGTTTATGAATTGGTCCAGTTTTCTATTGTAAGTGCCTTAATGTATCCCAGATTGGTGTTTTTTGTTGTAGTTGTTTTTTGTTTTTTACAGAAAAGGAGGGACACGGAAATTAATTTTTGTGATAATTATGCCACGAATGCTATCAATTTGAACCTGGAACATTCATTTAAAGCAAATTCAAGATAGGTCAACTCTCTCTTATTAAATTAATGTCAGATTCAAATTGAAAGGAAAAGCATGGGGATGCTAACATTTTTTCTTCAAATACTAGATTTTAGATGACTAGAATAAAGGTATGACTGACAGCTTCACCAGAAGAGGGCACTATTGGCTTAGTCAGCTATGATTTTGATGATTGCACAACCTTTTTCCACTGTAGCATCTTTCCCCATATTGCTTTTGGTATATTCAGCTTTGGCGTGGTACCATGGATATCGATCGCTTTTGAATTCAAGCGACCATGCTGACTGTTTAAAAAGTGTTATTAGAATTATTTTAGAATGAATCAAGATCTGTGGCACTGGAGAGATAATCAGTGCCACATACTTTGAGAACCTCACATGAGAAAAGTGCCAACAACCCTTGTGTTTGACCCTACAGTAAGGGTTGTGTTATTTCACTATTAGACAGATGCAGTGGCGTTAGCTGCCGCTGTGTCACCTGTTGCACAAAGATGAATAGAAACCCGATCACGAGGGCAGCGCCGAGGATGGATCCCACGGCCCAGGCGTAGGAAGGCTCTCTGGGCACGGGTGGGACCACTGGCTTTGGGGTTGACGTCTCCACTAGGACATCCTGTACGCTTGACAAAGAGCCATTGTTGGGCAAGGGCTTGAGACCAAGAATGCTGCACATGAGAGGATAGAGGTCGACGGAGCGCATGGATGCTTTGGTGTAGTCGCGGCGGAAAGCGGGTCCACGGGCGACAAACACAGGGTGCATGCTGGGAAGGCTGTTGTTATAACCATGGTTTCCCACTGCAAATCAAGCATGTATTCATTAAGCAATTGCAAAGATATCTCTGATACTCATCAGGAAACACATCAATGATATTAAACAAACAGTTCACCCAAAAATTTACTCACCCTCAGTCCATCCAAGATATAGATAAGTTTGTTTCTTCATCAGAACAGATTTGGAGAAATTCAGCATTACATCACTTGCTCACCAATGGATCCTTTGCAGTGGATGGGTGCCGTCAGATTGAGAGTCTTATAACATAATGATTTGCTTGTGAAGCAAAAATCAGCGTTTTTGTAATAAACAATCCATCATTAAGCTTTTTGCTTCATAAGACATTAACTGATGGACTGGAGTTGTGTGGATTACTTGTGGATTATGGTGATGTTTTTATCAGCTGTTTGGACTCTCATTCTGATGGCACCCATTCGCTGCAGAGGATCCATCGGTGAGCAATTGATGTAATGCTAAATTTCTCCAAATCTGTTACAATGAAGAAATAAACTCTTGGATGACCTGAGGGTGAGTACATTTTCAGCAAATTTTCAATTATGGGTGAACTATTCCTTTAATAGGTTATCATACTATGTTCTGCTTAAATTATGAGTAAATATTAATACGCACACATAAAAGATCCGTTTCTGTTCTGCATGACCGTCCAGCCCTCTTTGACTTCAATGATCAGAGGCATGATCCTGACATTGTGTCTGTAGTGGTAATGATCTGGGATCTCCTCCTTTTTATAAACAACCATGTTAGGGTTGGCATTCTTCAACAAATGGTAGACCTCTTCAAGTTTACCTGGGTTAAGAAGAGAATAACACTCAAAAACTATAAAGCACGTGTCACCAATTAAAACATATAACATTAGTAACTGGGTGTTTCTTAAACGATAGGCATATTTTGCCATTCAAAAAGGCATATTTTGTTGTATTGTATTCTGTGATGATAAAAACGGTAAATGTAAATTACTTTCTATACATTTTTGAAATAAAATGACCGACTCATTTATCTTGCTAAGGTTAATTTCGTAGCTAGGTTTTATGCATACTAAATTTATAATAATATCTTTTTGTACACTTTTTGCATAAAGTTAAAACTTGATTGGAAATGATGCACAATAAAAATAGTTTGCTCACAAATTACATGATTTATTTACTGAAATGATTTATGTTTTTTCACTCTTTATTTAGACCTAAAGACCCCTTTAACAGAAAATATTTATCTGAAGTAATATTTCAATAATTTAACAGCACATTTGTATGTTTATGGTTCCCTTTCATGGGAACTTCGAACTGCGTCCTCTAAGGGTCGCTATGGGGAACGCCTCGTCGTGACCCGTGTCTGAAGCATACATTGAAAAAACACCAACTCGTTGGCCGGCGACAGCCATGACGTCACTACCGGTGCGACTATAGTATAAATAGGCGCCGGGAGCATACATCATTCTCTTCTTCGTCTTCATTGACTGTTTTGTCTGAAGCGTGCATTTCTGTGGTAAGGCGACCCCTAGAGGACGCAGTGTCTCGTTCCCTACTCAGGGAACCATGGTTACATAAGTAACCTGAGACGTTCTCTAATGTTGGTTAACGGTCATATAACGTAGTTAAATTTACATTTTTAAGATTTAATTAATATTTAGATTTTATCAACTCACAAACCCCTTGAAGTTCCCTCATGAACCCCAGTTTAGAAAAACCTGGTTTCATGAGTTCTAATTGGATTGAGCAAATAGTAAGCATCCCTGCAAACATGCTGGCTTTTTGCGGGCACATGGGCTAGGGCCAGCCCACACCAAACCTAAACAGGCCCAGTGCGGGCTTGCCCAGGTGAGGCCCACAGCTTTGGGCTCACCGCAGGGTCTCTGTGAGCAGGCCACACTAGTGGACTGTCCACATTAATCCTATGATGGCCCAGTGTGGGCCAGCCCGTTCGGGCCCAGAGCAACTTTTGTATCCTTTGGGCCCATGCAGGTTTTGTGTAGGCAGCCCTGTAATGCAACTAGGAGAATACAAACAACATTGACTGGCCATTCTTTAGCCACTCAATTGAAGTGGAATGGCTCAAACCAAAAGAGACCATGCATGTATGGCCTATGTTTGGAATGATGCTAAGAGTTTAAGAGTGTATTTGTATGCATTTTAGAAGGACTCTTTATTGGTGAGGTTACCACATCATGGTCCAGTTTGAATATGAATTTAAAGTTCTTTTCAACGTGGGACCATAGTCTGGACTATTTTTGACTGTTCCTGGTTAGGAAGAGTCTGGTGTTTAAGAGCTGTGGCGTGTTTTCATTACAAGAGGTTGGATTATTCATTTGCTATCAGTCAACTTCAGCTATGGACAGTGTTTGGACATTGATGTACTACAGAGAAGATTGCACAAGAAGTGCATGAAACTTTCACATGACGAAATCCTACAGTCTTACATTGGCGACCCCTAGAGGACGCAGTGTCTCGTTCCCTACTCAGGGAACCATGGTTACATAAGTAACCTGAGACGTTCTCTAATGTTGGTTAACGGTCATATAACGTAGTTAAATTTACATTTTTAAGATTTAATTAATATTTAGATTTTATCAACTCACAAACCCCTTGAAGTTCCCTCATGAACCCCAGTTTAGAAAAACCTGGTTTCATGAGTTCTAATTGGATTGAGCAAATAGTAAGCATCCCTGCAAACATGCTGGCTTTTTGCGGGCACATGGGCTAGGGCCAGCCCACACCAAACCTAAACAGGCCCAGTGCGGGCTTGCCCAGGTGAGGCCCACAGCTTTGGGCTCACCGCAGGGTCTCTGTGAGCAGGCCACACTAGTGGACTGTCCACATTAATCCTATGATGGCCCAGTGTGGGCCAGCCCGTTCGGGCCCAGAGCAACTTTTGTATCCTTTGGGCCCATGCAGGTTTTGTGTAGGCAGCCCTGTAATGCAACTAGGAGAATACAAACAACATTGACTGGCCATTCTTTAGCCACTCAATTGAAGTGGAATGGCTCAAACCAAAAGAGACCATGCATGTATGGCCTATGTTTGGAATGATGCTAAGAGTTTAAGAGTGTATTTGTATGCATTTTAGAAGGACTCTTTATTGGTGAGGTTACCACATCATGGTCCAGTTTGAATATGAATTTAAAGTTCTTTTCAACGTGGGACCATAGTCTGGACTATTTTTGACTGTTCCTGGTTAGGAAGAGTCTGGTGTTTAAGAGCTGTGGCGTGTTTTCATTACAAGAGGTTGGATTATTCATTTGCTATCAGTCAACTTCAGCTATGGACAGTGTTTGGACATTGATGTACTACAGAGAAGATTGCACAAGAAGTGCATGAAACTTTCACATGACGAAATCCTACAGTCTTACATTGCTTTGTTTTGTTTTTTTGTGTATTTGCATTCTTGGCAATATGTAGCTGAATTAAACTGAACTGAATGTTTTCTATTTTGTATTTAATAAATTGATTTGAAATCCCTTTGACTACTGTACATTTTTGACAATACAGACATTAGTTATGTGGTGACTGCATCCATTTCAGATGTATAATAACTGTTTTTCCCAAAAACTTAAGTTATAGTAGCTGGAAAGTATTTAAAGTGAAACCGATGTATTGTTGTAGATTAATAGTGCGGGCCCTGTGTGGGCATATAGAGGGCTTCCTGGGGGCCAAGTGAGGGCTGCCCGTGAAGGGCCAGCGCTAAGGGGCCAACGTTTTGCCAATGAGCAAATTCTCAGGGGCCCTGTGCCAGCAGCCCGCTGGGGGCCCTAAGGCTAGCCCTAAGTGGGCCCGTAAAGGGTCAGTGCAGGCTTGTTTGCAGGGATATTTGGCGTGCTGTCCTGAGGGAGGGCTCCGAGCTCGGAATATAGCCCAAACCCAGAGAACTCCCCCATCCCTAATCTGGGATGAGAATAGTTAAGAGTGAGGAGGGATGCCGGAAAACTGTCGTGGGACAGAGGTAATTTGGCTGTATATATACGTACTGTGCTAGTTAACATGATTAACTAGACAAGCTCCACCTGTGCCGAATTGGTTGATTATCTGATCGTGCTCCTCCCGAACCTTGTTAATAAAACATCATTTAGATTTTCATAGTTTTAATGATTCATATTTTATGATGGATTTTTATAGTTGAAGTCACAGGTTTGGAAAAGAGAAAAACAATAAATTCGATACCAAATAAAAAAGGCCTTTGAAAAGTAACAAAAATACAAGATGAAGGCATGGTAAAACTTTCCAATACAGTATCAATGTGATCTTTATTTAATTTAAAGAAAAAGAAGGAAGTGGAAGAAACACCCAATTACATGACTAGTGTAATAAGCAATACAAAATGCTTTATATTTATTCTTACCTTCTTTTGGCAAAATACCAACTACAGGGCTCTTGTCTATCCATGTGTAAAGATCACGGCTGACGTAGGTGTCCAGCTCAATAATCTTATCATGTGATAACTGTGTCATTCCATGATCACTCGTAACGATGAGATTGACTTTGTCATAAAGGCCAGCAGTTTTGAGCTTTTCCCTGAGGAATCCCAACTTCTCATCGATGTCTGCTATGACTACATCCATTAGTGGGCTCTCTGGCCCCAAGTTATGCCCACTCTCATCTGGCTCCTCCCAATACAAGACACCAAAATTGATGGCCTCTGGCCCTGAGAACCAGTCAATGAGTTGGTCGACTCGGGTCTCAAATGGCATTGACGCATTATAACTCAAGTAATGTGTTGGGAACGTTCCACCAATCGCTACGTCTGATCCAGGCCACATGGCAGCTCCGCTCTTCCGCCCAGCCTTTTGATTGGTGACCCACAATGGCACAGCTTCCTCCCACCACCATGCATCATACACTTCAGGTCCTTCCATAGAAAAGGAGCGGTTGTGAATGGGGTCATACATTTCGTTAGCAACAATGCCGTGGGTTTCGGCATGTAATCCTGTCACTAAGGTGTAGTGGTTCGGGTAGGTCTTGGTGATGTAGGTGTTTTCCACTTGTTCCACCTGCACACCCTCATCCATCAGGGCACGGAAATTGGGTGTGGGTACTCGATTCACATAGTCCCAGCGGAAGCCATCAAAGGACACCAGTAGCAGCTGGCTTTGCTCGTCCTGCTGTGAGCTTGATGTCTGAAGCAATACTAATAAGCAACTCAGGAAGCAGCTCTTAATCACTAAGAGGTCTGGCATGATGTAAGATGTTCTACTAAAGGGAGACCTATAAAAAGCAAATTCATTGAAGGCATGAATGGGGAAGGAAAGAAAGTTTCGACCATTGACCACATTTACATGCACATAATTTTATAATTAATGTCAACAGTGTGGGTAAAACTTTATTAGTGGAATTCTGGTGTACATACAATAAGCAAATTGCAAATAAATTAAAATATGCACATTAATTTCTAATTTAATATAAACACACTCACATAAAAGTTTATTCCTGTTACGCAAAGTTTGTAATATGTTTTTAAAGTCATTCAAAACTAGTTTCTCCATATATATATAGAGAGAGAGAGAGAGAGAGATTTCTAGAAACCAGAATATTGGCTTAATCTGATTATGGCAATTAAGTTAATGTGTTAACAGTTTCTGATTAATATTTTAACATTTTAATTAATATATTAAAAAACAATTAATGATTTATCTCAGGGGAATGCAGCTTGAAAAGATCGATATGGAAATTTTAAAAGACGGCCACTATAAACAAACAAAAAAATTTAAATTAAAAATAAATGAAAAAGGTAAATATGAAAAATATCGTCGATTTATATTATTACATTTTCATTTTTTATTATATTTTATTTTCACTTTATTATTTTATTTTTTCACTTTACTATATTTTATAATATATTTTATTGTATAATATATTTTATTGTAAACCACAGTTTTACAAAAAAATTACAATGATTTCACACAGGAGAATGCAGCTCGGCAAAAGATTTGACTCAGAGTAAAATAAAATAAAAAGATAAACGTGGGGGGAAAAACACAAATTACACAACAATGACTCACCTAAAAAAAACAGCAACAATTAATTTTATTATTATTATTTTTAAATCCGCTTGTATCCGTCTTTAAAAGAAAGCAATCGGTCGCGCATTGTTCTGAATGGCACTGCATGTATTTACGGTTATGTATGTCATATTCAGTCATGGCAGTGCAGCCTACTTTCAGCGCGCCTCCTCAGTTAACAGGTGCATTTTTCTTATACATAATGTAACAACTAACTGGATACATTTCGAACTATAAATGCTTTAAACGGGTGTCAAATGTATCAAAATCATTCAATTGTACAGTGCGTCAGTAAAAATGGAAGATGATGACATCACACAATGCAGCGCATTTCTGTCACCCGTCACGCCGCTCGCTCGCTTCACTGGTGTCCTTCTTTTTTAAAACATCTACAAAACAATCCCTGTTGGGTCTAAAATAATATTCTATAACACTATCCTCAACTAACCAGTGTGCTTCTCCGCTCAACGGCAGCTGTTGTAAACGAAAGGAAACCCGTTTATCTCAAGTTAGCGCGCTGCATGATCTATGACAACGCTTTATGGCATTACAATACATTATGAAAACTTCTCCGATATCAAGCACCTTCACAGTGAAAACAGATGCATTTGCAATTAAACGAATGTAACCCGTGTGTATGCATGCAAGCAAACGTTCAGCTTACCTCTGTGGACGATATCTGGCTCTGCAAAAAATAAACACAGGGTCGAGCACAGGAAGTCCCGCCTATTTCTCTCTCACCAAAAGAATCTCATTATCAGCGCTAAACGCTAACAACAACACTATTAATTTTATTTTTATTTAATAGTTTGTTAGTGTGTAATAATATTTTTTAGGCTAATGGCTACTGAAGTCTAAATGATAGCCGTAAATGCAAATCATCTACCGTAATTCTAAATAATTACTTTTTGTTCTGTACAATATAATTTTAATCCCTGATGGCACATGTACATCACAGAGATGTCTATTTGACGTCTGCATTTACATCTGCAAGACTTTTTAGAGTGTTTGCTCATGCAATAGCCTATGTCTATAGGACGTTTCCTATCAGATGTCAAATAGACGTTTAGAAGATACCTTTAAGTTGTTTATGATTTAGAATGTATATAAAACTGACATTATTCTGCTGTTCCATCAGCGCCACCTGCTGTCAGAGAGTGGATTTACAGAGAGTTACATTAACTGTATATTCTGCCTGTGAGCAGTTTTTGTCTGGACAAAAAAACGAACCTGCTGTAAATTTTGACCAGCTGATGAAAAACAAGCTTATGTGTATTGTACACATTTAAACAATTCGGATAAGGTATCTATAATTATTTATGGAGCAGATAAAATACATATAATCATTTATTAATCAATGATCATTTTGACAACCCTTTTCTTTATTTAAAGGCTGAACTGTGAGGTTGATTTTTTATTAAACTTTTTCAAAGCTTTATTTGAATATTTTGTACATGTTATTAGATAAACTGTTGTCATCATGTTGCTATTTAAAATCCAGACATCATTGGCAATGTTACTGTTTTAGAGTTTATGCAAATAAAAAGTAATTTTATTTGTTGTTTGTTGATTTTAAGTATAAAATTTGGTGAAACGACTTATGTGTCAGTGCTTTTTGAAAATGTCCAGCACATCTGCGCAATACCGTAATAATACGGATAACCGTGATCATTTTGGTCACTATAATCGTGATAAGAAATTTTCATACCGTTTATGAAAAAAGAATATGACTAATGCAAGTTTCATTATGAACATTCTCCACCAGAGGTCACACAAACATAACATATCACATGGTCATCAATAGGCAGTTTAAATATTAACCATTTATGCATTTCCAAAGTCTTGAATAATAAGTATTTGGAAATAGACCTGATGATATCACAACAAAATGTGGTCTTTTACTTTTCTGGACCTTCTACTTTTTAAATAAAATGAAATGCACATTACATTCTCTGAAGGTCTATCTGAAGTTCTATAAATAAATATTTAGAATGTGGAAGTAGATCTAAGATAGGCCTTGTAAAATGTTTGAAGTAGCTTATTATGATAATTAATATTTCTTATGTAATTGTTTAACATGCAAGAGTACAAGTGTTTTGGAGGAGTGCTAGTTGGCCTCTCCTTGCTGTGAAAGATGCTGTACTCCGAGGCTTTGTGCAGATTCTTTACCGTCTCCACGACAACCACAACCTGACGCAACTTACGCCCCTCCTCCATTCAAGCCTCTCATCTCATTCAAGAACCAAGTGTGGAGTAAAAGCAGTGTTATTGTGCTCTCCAGTAGAGTAGGACGCGAGGGGTGCAAGTGCCTGGCAAACTACTATGAAGGTAAGAATAATCTTTTCCTTAATACTATCTGCATAAAGAGAGTGTCCAGACTCTCTAAAGCCCATATAAACTAGATAAAAATATTCAAATATTCTCTAAGAGTCACTACTGAACTGGCTAATGCCTGTCCCACAGGGTGCAGTAAGTTTTAGATGGCTTTCAACAGCCTAAATCACTTTTCTACGCAGGATGTATCTGCTTCATGATGTTTCATTCTAATCAGTTGCATTCACCGACCATGAATAGGTTGATTGAGATGGTGCATTTTAAAGTAACAACTTTTATGAAGTTATTGTCTTTAAAAAAAAAAGAAAAGAAAAGTAAACAAATTTCATGTTTCTGAATTGTCTAGACATGAGTTATTCAACACCCGAATAGGTTTTCATTTAGTCTGTATTTAGTTGGGCTCAGTTAATCATTGCTATGTGACGTGTAATAAATAAACTATTTGGTAATAATCAAAGAAATGTTGTTACATGTTGTTACACAGCTAACAGCTGAATGGAAAGTTGTTAGTCATCACGGCATTATTCCAATAATACTGGTCATGAATTGAGATTCTGGCCAGAATAGTTCATTTTCACTCCAAACAGCACAATCATTTTATGCTGAGAAACCAAGGTTTGCACTCCAGATATACGACAGTAAAGTTCACCGCATCTAATTAGACATGGATAAATGCAGTCATGCATAGTGTTCAAAACTGTCTGTTTGGCCCAAAGAACATTTAATATGTCTGGAAAAAGGAGAATTTTTTCCCCCCCTTGAGATCTGCATTCTAGAACATAATACTTTAGACTGTGGAAAGATACAGCACTCAAAACCAATATTATTCATGAAAAGAGAAATTTTCCAGGTTATTATATTAAGTACAATTTAATAAGTACATAGTGTGTACATGCAGAACAGGACTGAAAAATAAAGTGCTACCGCATTATATTATATTTTATTGTTTTATTTATATTTTATTATATCAAGTAAGTGCAAAAGCAAAACCTGCAAAGCTTGTTTAGTCTCTTGATAAATATCACGCTACAGGCATTTATATATACTGTATATTCATGCTGAAATTTGTTTCTTACATTCCATACAGTATTTTCATTCTCTTTGTGGAGCCCTTATTTCACCATGAATTATCATCAGTTGCCTCATATTTTAAAGTCTAGGTATTTAGTCCCTAAGAAGCACATTTTGTCAGACTAAAGTGAGAGTGGTCTGGGGTGAATGGATCCCCCTGTGAGATGAGTCACATTACTGCTGCCACACACAGAGCTGGAAAAGTGCGGGAGGTGGTGCAAAGTGCTCAATGAGCTGAGACTTTAGGAGTGTGATTAGTCCCGCAGCCGTGTGCAGGTTAACGTGAGGCCAATTAACAACCAGCACACACCTCTTATGGGAAGAACACATTCCTAGAGCAGCTGGGATGATGAAATACATCAAGGCATTGTGCCAAACGTTATATCACACATACATTAGACAGACAGCTTTGCGGGAAAGCATGAAAAATGTGGGTGGTCCTGAGATCAATTCCGTTATAAGCACAATGCTGATGCTTTGGCGTGAAACAGAACTTCATGTGATTGTCTTCTCAGCAGTAGTTTTGCTTGTCTGTATTAGAGTAATGAGAGGCTGTAATTGAGCAGCATTATATTCTTTGGTGATTGTCACAGGTCTGGCTGCTGTAGTGAGGAGTGACATTTAGTTCTTTAGAGCAGACAGTCTTCAGTGCTGCTGACTCATAGGCTGGGTTTAGTTGCTATGGCAACCGCCAGCTTTCTAAGATCCACAGTGTGATATGAGGCATGGATGGAAATCGGCGATGTGATCAGTAAACTTTCCATTTTAACCATGATTTACTCCAGAAGAATAGCTTCTGGT